TACTGATCAACATCCTGGAACATTTTGAATTTCCCGCCACTTGCGACGTTGCCGTTGCGTTTCGGTCGAGCTTTTATTTAATTTTTTATTTATAAACAAATCAGACGATCGTCGCAAAACTTGGTATACATCAAATTAATAACATTATCTGTAACATATAAAAAAATTGGCCAAATTCACTGGCCCAATTTGCTTAAAACTGTGATTTAGTCAGTTCTCCCATAAGCGACAGTGTTAAAATGACTTAACTTTGAAATTCAATATCTCGAAAACGAAACAGAGGAACCTCTTTAAATTTTGACTGGTTTATTGTAACAACAATAAAATTTCACTACGCAATGCTCCTCGAGGAGGGTCTAGTAATACAATGCATTTGTATGCATGCTGTATGATATCATTTTGCAACTTTTACATTAATTAACAATATTACTAATGTAATCATGGCCAAAGAAATTTTTATAATTTAAAAGTAGCTGACCAAATACATCTCACGATTTTGTAGTAGTTGGACGAATGGAGCTTTTGTCCAACTTCAGGTCATAAGCACAAAAACATGGTAGCCAGTACATGGGCATGCAATCAAAGCTGTTTACCTTTTAACGTAGTTAATCTTTTACGCGAATTTTTTAAACAAAAGTGTACAAAAAGTGTAGTACTTTGTAGAAAAAAAACACTTTACTAATCAGTTTTGTTGTTAAGGGGTACACAACTTCAAGAAAATTGTTTTTTCAACATTTAGAAAAGTTGACCTCCAATTTACGGTAAATGCAGATGAAGTATGGGTTTTTAAAAAAGGAAAAGAATTTATTCTTTACTTGAAAAAAAACAAAAGTGGAGGTCTTACAACAAAAACAAAAAAGAGAAGTAAGAAAAATTAGAATCTTATTAAAAATAAATCTGAAATAACAAAACTAAAAAAATCAGTAAAATTGGTTTTACACTATCTCACTAATATAACAATTGAAAAAACTGAGTGAGAACCGAGGTGAGAACTTAATTGAGTGGGAAAATTCGTTTGCGATTGAAGAGATGCAGTTCCTGCAAAAGAAAATTCAAATTAAGAAGGAGAAGTGTGACTCCACACAATTAAAAATTTTGAAAATCAAAATGCACCCTGAAGGATTTATCTTGTATTTAATAAATTATTTTTGAAAAAAATTTTTTTTTACGAATTTAAAGTAATAAATTTTTTATTATTTATCACCTTCGTTAACCTTTTTTATTATAAGGTATTTATCTTAATAAATACTTTAGTTTTAATAAGTACTTGCACCTTATCATAATTTATATAACTGTAAAATCGTTTAAGTTAGTATTGTCCAAGTACTACTTTTCAACTTGACCAAGTATTGCAGCATTGTAAAACTTTTGGTTTTCAAGGTTATCCAACTACTACGACAGTCGAGAATGATTGTCCAACTACTCCGATAAGTTGACATGTTTTAAAATGTACGATAGCTATTATTTAAGAGCTGTTTTAAAACATTTTTTGTGTGTTGTATAACCCTAAGGCATCTTAACTACAAGTTATTATTTAAAAAATATGGAAGTATTGCACATTAACTTCGAAATATGAGCGTTGAAATTAGTTTTGAAAAATCTGTCTAAGTATTGGGCGTTTTACCTTACTTCTGATAAGTAAAAACAAACGACGTTTTAGGTACTGGTAGAGTAAATTTAAAAGAAGAATACGTTTAAAAATTTTCTTATGTTGGCTAACAACGTTTTTCTGACCATTTTTGAAGAGAACCTTTATCGGTTTTTACTGCAGTTCACAAAATTTTTAAAATAGATCAAGCTGACATTTCGTGTGAATGTAAGACTGTCATATCTACCGTGTGCTTAAATTTTAGCCCTTTATACTGTATAGAACGCGAATTACTGTATTTAAAAAAAAAAGTTCAAAATAGCAGTTTAATGCGATTTCTGAAAAAACGGGTAAACTAATTTGAACGTAATGTAGCTCATTTAGATTGTACTGCAATTGCGCATCTTTTTATGTGCGATTCTTCAGTTTTTTTCCATTTGCCATTTTTTAGAGGGCTTTTGATGGCATTTCTACTTGTTGAATTCTGTGTTAATTTGTTACCCTACATTGAAACTAGTACTTTTTTTGAGCTAGTTAGAGTTTTTGAGATATCGATGTGACGTTTAGCTATTTCTTACCAAACTATGTGGCTAAAGCTGCTTGTAATTGATATTTTAAATTTTTTATGATTTTGAACAATAAAGCTTCTAGTAAATTATTCGTAGTCTTCTTGATTATTAAGATTAAATTAATTAGATTACAGAAGTTTGAGAAATACGTATTTCTATTACTTAACCATACTTGGCAAAGTGACCCTAATTTTGTTGATCAGACTCTAGCTTCACAAGCCAACTAGCACGTCCTTCGTTCTCTGCTAGGGGAAGCTGGGGGGGGGGGGATAAGCAGTCGTTGTGTCATTTGTGTTACGATTAATTTCTTTACTGATATTCAATGATATAGGTATGTAAACATTTTCACATACCTTGTTTTACGACTCCAAAGCCTTGTTTAACTGAATAGAAGCATTAGTTTGATTATTACTTGAAAAATCTTTAAAAAATAATTTTTATGTCAAGTTTAACTTGCATTACATGGAACATTTTTTGAATGTAAAAACTACGCAGAACATTTTTTCATAAGAAGGGTCTTATAACAGTAACTGCCCTGTTATAAATTTTATTACTTTGGGAATCGTGCTCTATTCAACCAATGCAAATATAGAGAGGTAGATGAAGCCTTAAAAAAATAATTACTAAGGAATTCTTTGTGACTACGACATTTGTTGGAATCGCTTCATAGTATGATTAGAATATATGGAATTATAGTTTTGGGGCATAATCGTGCATAATTTTTTTTTCTTTTTTTTTATTATTCAACAGATGCTAAAAGTTAACAGAGACAACCACTGCGCCCTGTAAATCGTACCCAGTAGGATGAATGATTGAGTCGTCTGAGGGGAACTCAGACAATAACACTGGGAAAGCCAAGACAATGCTCCGCCATACATGTTGTCTACTCTTACAAAGGATGTGTAAGAGGAAAATACTAAAAAAGACATTTAAAATTATGCAACAAAAATAAAACACGATAGCGCTTTCAAAAATTTTAAGTAGATGTTTGGATTTATTTAATTTTCAAATAATGATTATTTATTTTTGCAGTAGCACATTATTATTATAGATTGGTATACAAGAGAAAAAAAAGTAGATATTAAAGATTATCAAAACACTGTGTTTGTGCGAAGAAAGACAATTCATTCGAAGTTTTAATAAATGAAGTAAAACAAAATAAGTTATGACGAATGAACTTGATTCAAAAATTAAAATATATGATGGGGGAAGTGGGGGGGGGGGGCTAAGAAGGGGCGGGGCGGAGCGAGGGAAGTTGACCACGATTTTATTTTGTCGAAAAAACCCAACAAATTTTTCCTTATTAAGAGGGATGCAGGGGGGAACTAGTACTTGCTCTAAAACTATACAACTATATAAAATAAATTAGATATATGTACTAGAGCGCGCGGTGGCTCGGTCGGCTAGGTCGTGGATTGGCATGCGGGGAGACCGTGGTTCGAATCCCGGCCAGTGCGACTTTCGGGCAAGTACCTATGTGAGTCTCACATGTGCTTTTTCACTACGCAATGCTCCTCGAGGAGGGTCTAGGCAACCTTCTTGCAGCAAAAATTGCTTAATCTCCCCCTACCCCCCTCCCAGTAATGGGAGGCCTCCCATCCCTTTCCTTGTCCCTTTCCCAAGTGCTAAGTGCCCATAGTAGTGCCCTTATTAAAGGAGCCGGACGTAGAGCACTATAATATTAAAAAAAAAGGAGAGTTTTGGTTCATCTTTTTTTTACCTTTGTTTTTCGGANGAAAGATGTATGTATAAAAAAAGATATATGTACTAGTATGGCCCCACCCTTCCTCCACGTTTTGCGTGCTAACTCGCCTTAATGAATATAAATCCTTCATATCAACATCAGCTTCAAGGTAAGAGGCAAAAGGTTGTAGATTTAAAAGAAATACCTGTTTCATTAGATACCACGAATTATATTAGTAAACATAACAAGTACATAAAAAATATAGTAAATACCTTCCATTATGATTTTAGTATGGTTGTAAAAAATCAGTTTGAGTTGGTTTGTGATAAACAGTAAAAGAAGTTTTAAAATAAATGTAAATGAAAGATTACTTTCTTACTAAATCATAAAAAATCACAATTTTAGTATAGTAGTTGAGATATTTTTACAATAAATATTGTCACTCATCAGTTTTTTTTTTATTTTTTTTTTATTTTATTTTTTAATTCAACAGATGCTAAAAGTTAACAGAGACAACCACTGCGCCGTGTAAATCATACCCAGTAAGATGAATGACTGAGTCGTCTGAGGGGAACTTTGCAAGGGGTCCACACGAAAGACTCGCACATCGTACGGTTAGGGCAAATTTTTAATTTTTTTCTTTACTGTGAGCTTTAAAAGTAGAAATTTTGGTATTAGCTGGTGCGCTATAAATATACCATTATTATTCTAATTTTTAAATACGGTTCTTAATTGTTAAAATACCTTATTTTATAAAAAGATTATAAGACCAAAATGTACATAATTATGAAACATTGTACCTATTGTTTCATATTATGTCCCTATTTATGAACCTTTTTAAAAAAACGTAAATTTAGTATGATATTTTAAGGCAAATAAAGCTTTTTTACTTGCATAACACTATTTTATTTAATAAAAATAATTGTATCGTAAATTTGTTTACTAGAAGTATATAAATTCCTCGTTGAAGTTAAAGCAATTATACGTACAGTTCAAGAGATATTCCACGAATAGGGGCATTTAGTTTAGTTTATATCAAATTCGAAATTGTCATAGAAAAGTTTATTGTCAATTAAACTTTACAACTAGTTATAGTAATAATTTATAACAGTCGGAATAATATCAATAACAAAAATAGAGTAATGTATACAAAACTTACCACCAGGAACAATGCCTTCTTCAACAGCAGCTCGAGTGGCATTCAAAGCATCATGAACACGGTCTTTCTTTTCGTTTACTTCTACCTCACTACTTCCTCCAACTCTTAAAACTGCAACACCAGATGCAAGCCTAGCCAACCGCTCCTGCAGTTTTTCTTTTTCGTAGTCTGACGTAGTGTTCTCAATTTGATCTCTTAGGTGATCAGCTCGTCTATCGATATCACTTTTTTTTCCCTTTCCCTTCAAAAGGAGAGTGTCATCCTTTGTAATGATGACTTCTCCAACTTGTCCCAAGTCAGTAAGCTAAAACAAGCAAATAAATAAATAAACAAGCGAAAAAATTAATTGATAAAATTATCTTGACAAAATTTTAGTTAATACATATAACTCATTGTAAGTATTTCAAAAACGTGTACATAGTACACACTTGTATTGATTTATATAAAAAACACAATACATTGCCCACCGTAGTATGCTATGATACTCTTAAGTTATGAGGAACTTTTCCATGTGTCAGTGAAGCAAAAAAAAATACACACACAAATTAAGGTAAACACAGAAAATTAACTAGATTATTCAAAATACAATGTGGTTTGTACGGAGTAGGGTATGTCAGCTAAAAGCAGAATACTGTTATCAACTAATTTACTATTTTCAGACTCAGAATGTACGATATTAGATTTATCTATTCATTGATAGAATTAACGGGCCTTAGGCCCAATTACAATGAATTAACAACGTGTGTTGCTGAGTGCAGCACATAACAAATTGAATAGTGTAGTAACATGCAGAGCTTTGGCGGCTTAGTGGTTAGCATGCTAGCCTCCTAGCCAGAGATACTCGAGGGGTCGTGAATTGGCATCACGTCGAAAATTATCGAGATTTTTTTCTCGGTCTTTTCCGATAGGATGAGTATCCTGGATACCGAAACACCACTTATCCGAATTGCAAAACGAATAGTAGATTTTTTCTGGTGATGTCTGGACCTCCAGGGGTTTCCTTTGCGAAGGATAGCCAACACCTGGCCAGCTCATCGTGTAAAGTCACTGTTGGTTATAAAAAGGTCGGTACAGCGTGTGTAAATGGTTTATTGAAAAAATATCTTTTAATGAAACTTGATACTAGCTGGGGTGTGCTTGAGATAATCACTGCGCCCTGTAAGTAGTACCCAGTAGGATGGATGACCGGGTTGTCAGAGGGAAACTTTGCAAGGGGCCCGCACGAAAGACTCGCATACTTGGGGAAATTAACGGTATTTACGAAAAAAAAGAACATAGGAGGTAAAGATGAGGGACATAAGATACGTAAAAATCCTGTAATAGGCATACGGTGGAATTATTATACTACTACTACTAGTGTAGTAACATAATTATAGAATAGAAATGACTCAATTAAAATTATAAGGGATAGTAAATAACGAGTAACTTAAATAAATGTATAATGTGTAAACATGGTTATTAATTAAGAGTAGTATATAATATCGAGATCAAGTGAAATTTTACAATATTAAATATTAAATATTAACTGTTAAGTATGAAATATAAAATGGTGCAACGATAGTTGAGTGAGCTCGCTGCATTTCAGGGGTATTAATGGATAAATTAGAGAAAAATGTTATGAAACCAGAGCCAGCGAACAAAAATAAGAAGGCCGGAAAGGCATATCGGGCATTTCCGAGGTCATTATGAGTGTTTCTGACAGAGAACAGTGCAAGCATGTCAAGGCATTTGATGAGAGATTATGGGTAAGCCTGAAGATGAATAATGCGTCATGGTATTTATTTAAATTTTCGCAGGTAAAAAGCGAGTAATTGGATAATAAGGAGAATAATTGTAATTAGTGTATGTTATGGTAGAATTTGTTTTATAGGAGGCAAGTCCAAGAGTGCGATGTAGTATACTATTGAGCAGAGAAAAACTTTGATAAGTGTAAGAGAATCAAGCAACCGAGGCATAAGTTATAGGTGGAAGTATTAAAGACTTATATGAGTGTATAATGGACTCTGGTAGTGAGAAATCACGTGTAGTTCGTTGTATGATGCCCAAGAGCTTAATACATTTAGGTATGACTTTGCTGATATGGTATTTGAAGGACCAAGACGAATCAAGAGTAACACCTACATCAGATAGACTCTACTCGTTTCGATTCATTGCCATTAATTGAATAATTGTGAAATGACCAGTTTTGGCTTTTGTTACCTGATAGCATCCTGCACTAATTCTCGCGGACCGTGAGTTCGCTGTCAGAGCACCACAAGGCCACATTAGAAAGATCTGACTGTAAAAGTAGAGAATCTGTATGTGATAAAATGTTTATAGATTTTTATGTCATCTGCATAGATTAAACAAAATGATTTAAAAAGGAAAGTGCAGAAGGAAGGCTATTCATAACGAGAGTAAATATTATAGACCAATAGGCGAGCACCGTGGTACTTCAGAGGTGGCGGCAAATTCATCCGACAAGACGTCAAGGAGGCCAACTTTAAGTGTTCCGCCTGTGAGAAAGGAGGCGAGCCATCTATAAAGTGTTCCACCTATGCCAAAAGAACTAGCCTGAGCAAGTAGTATACTGTGAGGAACGCTATCAACGGCTTTAGACATATCCTGGAAGATACTGTCAACCTGTGGACATATTTTAAAAGAAGATAAGACGTAGTTGCTTAGTGTCAGGAGGTTTGTAACCGTAGAGCGGCCCTCAGTAAATCTGTGTTGATGTGGTGAGATAGATGAGAAGAGAGGTGCCGAAGGTATTTAATGAATTAGTTGATCAAATAACTTTCGTATAGTACTTGGCAGAACAATAGGTCGGTAGTTGATGTCCAGTAGCAGTAAGTATACTTGAAGGGGAAAAGTGAGATCTATGTCTAAAGAGCACTGGGTGGTCAGGGCTGGAATGAAGGTTGGTTGTTTGCACACAGAAGAAAAGTGGTTAGCGAGCAAGTTGAACTTATCGAGAGGAGTGAAAGCGAGGTCCAAGTTTAAACTTAGCACATCTGGAAGCTGATTGCAGTTTTAGCGAGCCTTGATCAAGTTCCAAAATTGCCAAATATCATTCCTCAGTCTCAACTCCGACCTAGCTATGAATCCCTTGTGTAATGTTCTTGAGAGTCAGGCATTTAGTTCTGAGTCTCTAAAATGTGATTAAGTCTGAAAGTAAACCAGTATGCTTTCAGACCCGATGGGCACATTTCTTCTCGTGGATCAGGTCCAGTAATTCCTATGTGAATGAAACCAGCGATCTGAAGTTAAATTTTTTCACAACTCAACGCCTCTGTTTTCGTGCATCACGATATTTTTATTCTCTTCAGAAAACCCGTAAAACTCGTTATTTTGGCTTCATCTTGTTTCCTTTTAGAAATATGGCGTATTTTGTAATGTGTGAAGTTTATACCATATTATAAATACCTGTTTATTTAATACTGGCTATCTGCAACGATCTACCATACATACAAAAATTATTTGTTAATGTACTTGATAAAAATAATAATATTAACTCGTGTATATAGTATTAATATTAACTACTATATTCTATACACATGCGCGCAGGTAAACAAGTCTAGACTTGCACAGTAAAAGTAGAAAGTACACTCACGTACACTTAGCATACATGCATACTTTCATGGTTGCATCCATACTTCTGTGAACAAGTTACACTCACATACATAAGTGCATGTATACATTGTATACGTGGACACGGCACACAGTAACACACTACGACACGGCAATAGGAATATGCTCAACACTATACACTGAGCAAGCGCGTACACGCTTGCTCTGTCTATTTATTTTGTTGATTTTTTTTTTTTTTTATTTCCCTCTTCAATAGCGAAAACATGTAAAAATATACCTTATCTGTTGAATATCACATATACGAACGAAAGGCAGGTTCATCGAGTAAAGCTCATCAATATTTTTCAATCTAGATATTTGCCCTTGCCTGTTTTTTTTTTTTTTTTTT